GATATGTGAAGGTGTTAACGTCCTCCAAGGTATCTCCATCAAGCGTGATTCGGTTGGTGCATGTTGTGTTGCATCGGAGAATTTTGCTTTTTCCTTTATGCATGTTGAGACCTACTGCTACAGAGGCTGCTGCTACACTGGTCGTCTTCTCTTGCATTTGTTGTTGAGTGTGCGATAGAAGAGCCAGGTCATCTGCGAAGTCCAGATCGTCCAGCTGCGTCCTAACTGTCCAGTTGATACCGTGCTTCCCTCCAGATGTTGACGTCTTCATAATCCAGTCGATGACCAGGAGAAAGAGAAAGGGTGAGAGTAAGCAACCTTGCCTCACACCGGTCTTCACCTCAAAAGAGTCTGTCAGCTGACCTCCGTGTACAATTTTGCAGTTGAATCCATCATAAGAATTCCGTATGATGTTGACTATTTTCTCAGGCACACCGTAGTGTCGAAGAAGCCTCCACAGGGTTTTCCTATCCACGCTGTCAAATGCTTTCTCGTAGTCGATGAAGTTGATGTAGAGTGGTGAGTTCCATTCAATTGATTGTTCCACAATGATCCGTAATGTAGCAATTTGGTCAGTACATGATCGATCCTTACGAAATCCGGCCTGTTGATCTCGAAGTTGGGCGTCTACGAAGTCCTTCATTCTGTTTAACAATACTCTGTTGAAGACTTTGCCTGGTATTGAAAGAAGAGTGATGCCTCTGTAGTTTTCACACTTGCTGAGATCGCCTTTCTTTGGTATTTTGATGAGGTATCCTTCTTTCCAATCTGATGGTACTTGTTCCTCATCCCAAATCTTCTTGAAGAGGATGTGAAATATTTTCGCAGTTGCTTCCACATCTGCTTTCATTGCCTCTGCTGGAATGTTGTCTGGTCCTGCTGCTTTGCCGCTCTTGATTTGTCTGATGGCTATACTGATCTCCTCAATCGTAGGTGCGCCAATATTAATTGGGAGGTCCGTGGATGCTGCTTCGATGTTGGGTGGGTTCAGTGGAGCTGGTCGATTCAATAGTTCCTTAAAGTGCTCCACCCACCTATTTCGCTGTTCGTCAGTGTTGCTGATTATATTCCCTTCCTTGCTTTTCACTGGTCGTTCTGGTTTACGATAGTTTCCGGCGAGCTTCTTTGTAGTTTCATACAATTGTCTCAAGTTTCCTTCTCTTGCAGCCTTTTCCGCCGTCATTGCTAAATCTTCCACATATTTTCGTTTGTCAGCTCTGATGCTCTTCTTCACTTCCCTGTTTGCTTCTGTATACTCGGCTTGCGCCTTAACTTTCTCTGCTCTTGTTCGGCTGACATTCACTGCTGCCTTCTTGTTCCTCCTTTCTTGAATTTTTTCAAGAGTATCAAGAGAGATCCATTCCTTGTGATGGTGCTTCTTGCGACCAAGGACCTCCTGACATGTTGAAGTGATTGCCTCCTTAATCCCTTTCCACTTGTTCTCCAATGTTGCTTCCTCTCCATTGAGTAGATCCTGAAGGGCCTGGAACCTATTGGTGAGGGCTATCTTGAATTCGTTGAGCTTTACGGTATCCCGAAGAAAGGCCGTATTAAACTTCTGTGATGTTGTCTGCCCCGTTGTCCAGTGCTTCTTTAGCTTCAATCTCATTTTGGCGATCAGCAAGTGGTGATCTGAAGCTATATCAGCTCCTCTCTTGGTTCTCACATCCTCCATGGTCCTTCTGAACTTTTTGTTGATACAGATATGGTCAATTTGGTTTTGAGTAGTGTGATCCGGTGAAATCCATGTGGCTTTGTGAATGCGTTTGTGCGGGAATATTGTGCCACCGATGACCAGTTTGTTGAAGGCACATAGGTTTGCAAATCTCTCACCGTTTTCGTTCCTTTCTCCCAGTCCATGTCGTCCCATGATGTCTTCATATCCAGTGTTGTCCATTCCAACCTTGGCATTCAGGTCTCCCATAAGAATCGTCAAATCCTTTGGTGAACATTTATCGACGATTGACTGCAGCCTTTCGTAGAATTGATCTTTGTCGTCGTCATTGTAGTCATTGGTGGGTGCATAACATTGGATGACGTTCATTGTAATGTCCTGTTTCTTTGTTTTGAAGGATGCTTTAATGATCCTAGGTCCATGAGATTCCCATCCTATCAGTGCCTTTTGTGCATGTTTCGACAGCATCAGTGCAACTCCTTGTGTATGTGAAGCGTTTTCCTCTTCATGACCAGAGTATAACAGCAGTTCCCCTGAAGCAAGTCTCAGTTGTCCTACCTGTGTCCAATGTGTTTCACTGATGCCGAGCACCTCGAGGTTGTATCTTTTCATTTCTGCCGCAACTTGAAATAGTCTTCCAGTCTCCCACAATGTACGAACGTTCCATGTACCTAAAAGAATGGTTGCTCTGGTTGTCAGAAGAGGCATCGGCCCCGTGACTTCCGAGGGGACTCGGCTTTCATCACGAGACGTCATAATTCTTCTTCCAACTCCCAGGGCAGAGTTAAAATGGTTTGAATTATTTTTTCTGGTTAGTGTTTTTTTGGCAAGTTAGATTTCAACGGAATGGGGCCGCCAACCCCATGTCCAACCCTCCTCCTTTATCCGGGCTTGGGACCGGCAGTAGCCCCTAAGGTTCTACTGGCGGAGTTAATTCAGACAATTACCAAAACAATATTACACCGAGTTTCTAATCACCACAACAGGTTCCGTTACTGGAAGAATAAGTGCTTCCAGTCAGTCACTGCTAGAGTATCAAATCCAAATATGGCTGTAGCCATATTAAATATCAATTTTAAACAACACATATATAGTTCAGAAGGGAACATAGAAACTTCAATATAAGTACAAGATATAGAAATAATAACAAGATACAAATGATAAAATCTCAAAAGGGAATCAAATAGAGTACCAAAATGTCAACAGAAAGAGTCAGTCATATCATAACACAAATATATATACATGGAGGGATTTTCCAAAAACGAAGCCTTCAAAATAGATTCTACAATCACTATCAATGGAGCTGATGCAAAAAGATGAATTTCAACAACGATACTTAGTTTCGCCATTACGTGGGGTGGATTACAGGTAGCTGAGAACCATCTATTAGGGCTAAAACAATAAAACTAAGGTGTTCATTCACTTCGTTTCCTTGTGTAGGCATTATATTTCTTATCACCACATACTTAACTTTGACGATTATGTTTACCTAAATTGCGATCTCTCACTCCAACTGTTCAAGTCTGAATAATATAACCTACTACTAGTAAACACATGTTTCTCAATGCCTCTGAGATTCGCACACTCCGATTCCCCCCTTTTGATAACATGATGAAATGTTTTAGTACCCGCCACTTTGCACTTTCTTTTATGTAGGTTGAAAACGTGGTTGTAGTAGGTTTTTATTCACGTTTTGTTTAGTAGCACACTGGAGGGTCGATGTTATCATTTAAGCAAACAGACATTTCGACATGTGCTTTTATGAATAATAAGTTCCAGTATTCGGCAATGATACTAAAATCAGTAATGAAACCCGACGCCATAGCTAAACTTGTTTGGTTAAGCGAGGGTGACAGATCAAGTTTTGTGACGACGTGCTTCGCATGTCCTACTTTATCCAGTTTCTCCGCATTTCATATGGAACTATGTAGCTTGATGCAAACGCACACCTATTATCAGCGATTCTTGACTTTCTGCTCTGTCGATTTTGAACCAATATGTGAAAAGGATTTAAAACAGAACAGTTGGCTCAACCTGTTTAACAGTTATCTGTTCATGTAACTGACTGTTTCATCATTCAATATTAAATAGTACAAACATGAAACAGATATTTAGCGCTTGACAGTTTTATTGTAAATTATATTATCATAATCCAAGGTCTCAAGCCCAGTCAAACCAATAGTCAGGAATGAAGAAATTCGAACATATGGTTGGAAGATAACAACGGATTTGCCATCTACCCCGGTTGTATATGTATCAAAGCAAACAAGGTGGTTGTAGTAGGTCTTATTTCTGGTCTTCAGATTCAGAAAGTACAACATAGGAAATATATCTATCCATAATCATGGAGTCCTGTGGCAGATGAGACTCAGATGCTACAGGATGAGTTTCCCCTTTTATCCTAAAGATTTGAAAGTTTAAAAGCGACTACTCTAACTTCAAAAAGCTATGTTACGAAAACTTTATTTCTCTAAAAAAATACTTTCAAAACTACTATAGCTATTTATTGGAACCACCATGTTCGATCCTTTTTTGCAAAGCAAGAGCTATATTCTAAGACCAAACTCTTAAAAGCTCATAAATAAACATTATTACATTCATATCAGGAGCCGCATTTCTCATGTACAATAATAAAATACTGACATTGTCTTACGAAAAGCATCTTATAAGCGTCCTTTGTTGACAAGTCCAGAGCACGGCCAGTTACTCAAAGTACAATAAATTACGAGAACTGATAACTGTCCCTGGGACTTCGATCCTAACATGCGGACTATAATCTCACTCTTGGACCAGCTGTGTTCAATCCAAATCTCGAAAGTTGCTAATTGTTGTCATTGTCATTTACTCAGATGAATAACTTAGTCTGTCGCATTTATTATTCGTTTTTCCCTTCTTTGTATACAGTGCTGCCCTCTCACACAATCTTCATTACCAACTAATCAACATTTAATTATGTATATAGAACTCAAATTTTTCTCTTCAAATTGGAGTTAGGGTTTTCTCTTTGTTCTTCAGCTTGCTGCCACTAACTAATCTCCGGCCTGGTAACATGATGGCTGCTGGCACGCAGAAACCCTAATATCATGAGACATACACACACACACACACTCAATTCATGGGACAAACAAATTCATAAATAACTGTCAAGTGACTAGGATTCGTGAAGGCGAGTGAACGGACTACCATCCACTGGACAGTAACAAATACGTAAATTAGTACTGAAGGGACAAGAATAATGATCAAAAAGAATAGCTGATTTATACTAGCTCGTGTTAAAAATATTTGATAGATTGCGCGCTACTCTCATTTTCTAGGTCACTTAGGTATGAGTGTTTCCGTATCAAAAACGTGTGAACCCTCAAAGATTACTGATCTAATTGATTTTTGTCCGACTCTTAATTTGTACCTTAAGCCCATAGCTCGAGTATGTATTACAGTTCAGATCCCTTTGCTTCACGACACATCTGGCCAGTTAAAATCGTTCACTACTTGGGAGATCATTGAAAAAATCCGACAGCTATGTCCTGGAATACTTGCTCCATCCACTGTTATGAAAGTTGTCCACACTACACTGGAGTTCGTGCGATTCGCCGTTGACTTGGAAAATAAAACAGACGTCAGGCGCGTGGTTACAAGTTTGGAAAGTCAGGTAACCCAGTTTCATTATGACAATTTTGTGTGTGTTGAAGCCTGTGGGGCGTAATTCTATTTTGAATTTTATTGTACCCAAAAACCGTTTTTAAGTCGTTAGTTGCTGCTCACTGCTTTGTGCTTGAGTGAACATGGATTCAATAGTAACTTAGTTATCCTTTGGATAATTGTTTTGGTAGGTGATTGAAGTTTTTGAGCTAGTTTAGTTATAATTCTTATTATGCCTACATCAAGATTCCATCATAACAGATCGGTCATAACTTCAATCAGTTAAGTTTATTCATTATACATGTATGTTGATTCAAATGGTTGTGAAAGAAATAGGATAAGCTATCACTTAACGGGATTTTATATGTAGTGGCAGCAAATTACTGGTGCTTTCAAGTAAAATCCTAGGTAAAATGCTGTCTTGAGTACTTAAGAGTACATTCAGTTTCCACTTGAAAGACTCCTGAGAAGCCTCTTGGACCACCTCAGCCGACAGCGAATTCCAAAATCCGGATACTGGCGAAGAGTAAATGTGCTAACAGTCCATTTTAATATGTTCTGCCCCTAGTTTCTGGGCAATATTCCTAATTTGAGCTTTCGGACTTCTCTTAGTAAGTGTTTTAGTTGTTACCAGGAGTGTTTACTGTGCTATCAGTCATTAGGTCACCTTAGAGCTGCCTACACTCTAATAAGTACAGATCCATTGATTTGAGGCGTCCTTCAAACGTGATAGGTTCCTCCAACTACCCCATTAAGTTTCCCATACAATTCTTTGATAAACTCAGGGGATTCAAATCGATAACGACGAATTGATGATATCCTTTGACGTAACAGCCTTATTCACCTCAATGGTGCCTAGCTCAGCTAAAGAAATTCTATTCCTGCTCCTCCTCACCAAAGACGCAAATCTCCCAAAATATACGAAACTTCAACTTCAAACTCTCCTAGAACTCATCGATCTTGTGGTGTCGCGGCTCAGAGAACAGACAATGGTGACAGTCTGTTGCAAGTATGCTCAGATAACCGCCTATTTCTAGCAAACACCAACTTTAGGCATAAGGAAAACATCTTTTGACCTGGCGACCCCCGAAGTCGTCTCAACGTTGGACTCAACTAGATCACATCGCCATCAGCCACCGATGGAGGGGTTGGATAGAGGACTGTCGCTCGTTCTGGGGCACATGTTTGGATTCAGATCATGCTCTAATGCGAGCTCGTATCTGCTTAAGGCTTACTGGACGTAGAAAAGACACTGTAAGGAAGCCTCTTAGGGTTGTACTTAATGATAATAAAGCTAGGAATATATTTCAGGAGGAACTAGAAAAACGGTTGGGCGACCATGCAAGTGATTCCCATCCAAAAGCAGGTTGGAATGATATCAAGAAGGCTGTGGAAACAGCAGTGATATCTGCTAGTAAGGTTGACCATAAGGGTAGGATGAAGCCGTGGATATCAGTCACATCCACCGAACTGACGGATGCTCGAAAACTCATCCCGCCTGGCTCTGAGGGCGACGAGGAGTAAAGTCAGCTTAGACGTAGGCTGATAAAAAGCCTACTCAATGATCGAGAACAGTGGTGGGTGGAGAAGGCGAGAGAGATGGAAAAGGCAGCGGCGATAGGCAACAGTAGGGAACTATTTAGACTCATCAAGGAAACTGGTATTAGGAACCCAAGTGTGAGTGAGACTATTTCGGAAAAGGATGGTCTTATTATCCATTGTCAATCCAGGAGATAGGATCGATGGGCAGGACACTTTATGGATCAGTTCAACTGGCCTCCAGCCACACTTCGGTTACCCACGATCTTCAGTAATCCTGAATGGCAAGTCGACGTAAGTCCTCCGAATCTTTATGAAGTTGAAAAGTCTATAGGAAATCTGAAGCGAGAGAGAGAGAGCATCAGGACCTGATAGATTGACTCCTGAGATTTTTAAGGATGGTGGTCCAACTTTAGCAGTTAGATTGACTGAAATCTTAGGTAGAATCTGGGAACTGGACGTAATCCCATCTGACTGGTCTCAATCACTGATTGTTTCAGTTTATAAGAAAGGACGAAAGTACTCTTGTGACTGTCACGGAGGATCATGTCTAACTGATAGAGTGTCGAAAATATTAGCCTCAATAATACTCCAACACTAAACGAAAGCTCGTGAAGAGCAGACTCGAGAAAACCAGGTTGGTTTCAGACCTGGACGTGGATGTGTAGACCACATTTTCACACCACTTCAGGTCCTAGAACAATGACACACGTTCAGACGCTCCACAATCGTAGTATTTCCCTACCTTATTGCGGCATTTGGCTCTGTTGATCGTGATGTTCTGTGGCAGTGTCTGTCGTAGAAAGGAGTACCAGAGAAGTACACTAACCTTATACAGGCTCTCTACTCGAACACCACTGGTCGAGTAAGAGCTTATGGCGAACCGTGATCGTAATTCATTACTTCAAGTGGTGTCCGTCAGGGCTGTCCACTCTCCCCTTTGTTGTTTAACTTTGTCGTAGATATGCTTTTAAAGTTAAGATTATCATCGTTTGACTCTTGAGGAGTGGACGTTTTTCCATTAGACACGCTTGTTGACTTAGAATATGCTAATGACATAGTCCTATTCGATGAAGACGCTGACAAAATGCAGTCTTCTGAATACCCTGAGCAACAATGCAAGCATGTTCGGGATGCGGGTCTCACCCTCAAGATGCTTCTTGAAGATTGGCTTGCGTCGGCACCTGAACTAATGATAGGAAGTGAAGTACTCGAACCTGTAGACCACTTGATTTATCTCGTGAGTCTCATCAGTGCTGACGGCCTGGTGACTGACGAAATCTCAGCACGGATACAAAAGGCTCAACTGGACTTTGCCAATTTACGCCATTTATTGCGTAGGCGAAATATCCGTCTACTGACCAAATGACGAGTGTACTGCACAGCAGTTCGCTTCGTCACTGACAAGTGGACTGAGTCATGTTGGTAGATGTAGACTACCTGGTTGGGGTCCGCGAGACGAAAGTCACCAATGGTTAGAGACCTTGAACGACATGGCTCAAAATCGTTTGCAATGGCGCAGGTGCATCCACTCTTTAAGCTCTCTCAAATCCTAATCTTTTGGATTCGTCAGCACCTCTACCTTTGTCTTCCTAACCTTATCTCACTGAATTATATTTCTTGAATAATATCTTCGAACCCTAGTCTTCTTTATTAACATTAATACCTCTACTATCTTTATCACCATGGGATTTGATTTGACATCTGCGTCTCTGTGCTAATGTGGTGTGGCAACATGAACTTATGTACATACGTACGAAGTTCTACGTTGCAACTGACTGACTAACTGAGTTCGCTTCGTCCTATTATACGGATGCGAAACATGGCCGGTGCGAGTAGAGGACATTCATAGATTGCTTGTGTTCGATCATAGGTGTTTCCGAAGCATTGGTCGTATATCCTAGGATAAACGAGTAAGCTACGTTGTTATTAGGAAATGAGTACTAGGTGAGGATGGCAAATCAATAGATGAAGTACTGAAACTGCATCAGTTGAGGTGGTTGAGACATGTGGTACGAATGCCCAACTACCGACTGACCCGTTGAGCAATGTTTTGTTGCGTAGGAGTAGGTTGAAAGAAAGCTAAGGGCGGACAAACCGAAATATGACACACATCCATGAAGTCACTGTCAAGTGGACTGAGTCATGTTGGTAGATGTAGGCTACCTGGTTGGAGTTCGCGAGATGTTAGTATTCGATGGTTAGAGACTCAGGATTGTCTGCAATGGCACAGGTGCATTAATTCTTTGTGTTCTCTCAAATTCTAAACTTCTGAATTCCTCATCGCCTCTGTTTTTCTCTTCTCAAATCTATTTCATTGAATTACATTTCTCGAATCATATCTTGGAACCCCAATCTTCTTCATTACTGCTAATACTTCTATTATCGCTACCAATGTGTGATTTGAACTGAGCACTTTATTTTGTAGATGATATTCGGTTTTCTTTTGTCATTTTTCCCTGTGGCCTGGATAGGACTGATTGAAGTGATTTTGTTGGTTTTTGTGCTACACCCCTTCCAAATAGTCTCAGTAGTCGTGCCGTAATTTTCGATGTCTCTTATGTTTGTTAGGATGATTCGTTTGTGGGTTCCTGCATTTGATTTTGCTTTCGTTGATGGTTCCAGTTGATATTTCTTGATAAAGTTGTGTGGATAGCCATTCTTCTGGAAGATAGTCAATATGTATTTTTCCTCGTTATTTTATGCTTCATGTGTGCTGCAGCGTGTTTTCGCTCTCTTGAACAACGCTTGTATGCAGTTGATTTTGGGTTGCTGGTACTGTAGTTGAGAATTAGGTTTGTGTGGGTTGGTTTCCTAAATACTTGAGTCTTTCACTTACCCTGTGTCCATTCTGGTGATCAGTACATAGAGGAATGATAGATTGTTATTTGATTCTTTTTCCATACTGAATATCATGTCATCAAAGATGTTGTTGATCAGATTGTAGGTGTTCTCGAGCTCGTTCTTGTTAATAATGAAGAATGTGTCGTCTACATAGCGAACTCACATTTTTAGCTTTATCACTGGTAAAATCGATGCTCCTACTTTCTGCATCACAGCTTCCGCGATGAGTCCTGATATCGGTAAGCGATGAAGAGGCAAAGACGAGTTTCCTTATCTTTACTGGCGCTTACTGTCCAGTTCAGTCGGACAGCGCACAAGTGACTACTGCGATCCAGTCTTGGAGAGCTAGTTCTGCCCTAGGACTCACTGCTATACCTATGCCAGCAAGACGACGAGAAGCAGCATCACGGCTACCGGATACACGAAGAGTAAATCAAGCTGCTTCTTTATAGTGACATGGTGAGGTCAAGTGAATGACTCTACTCGGATCCTGTATGCGCGTTTCCGAGACACAGCATACATCGATGGCGCGAGATACTAATGTCCTAGCTAATGAAGCCTGTTGCCCTATTTGACACAATTTCCGTACATTAAAAGCTCCAACACGTAGTTTGGAACGGGGTTTCAGGAGACCAGAAATAACGTTTCGTGGACTCGCTTCGTGTACATTCGCGGTACGGGGTGATAGAGGAATGTGAGTAGAGTTAGTCGTGGAGGTAAGAGAGATATTAGTGTGTGTAGGAAGGATTTAACTCCGCCTGTAGACCCTTCGGGACTACTGCCGGTCCCAAGCCCGGATTAAGGAGGAGGGTTGGGCATGGGGTTGGCGACCCCATCCCGTCAAAAACTAACTTGCCAAAAAAACGCTAACCAGCAATAATGATTCAAACCATTTTAACTCTGCCCTGGGAGTTGGAAGAAGAATTATGACGTCGCGTGATGAAAGCCGAGTTTTCTCGGAAGTCACGGGGCTGATGCCTCGTCTGACAACCAGGGAAACCATTCTTTTAGGTACATGGAACGTTCGTACATTATGGGAGACTGGAAGACTATTTCAAGTTGCGGCAGAAATGAAAAGATACAACCTCGAGGTGCTCGGCATCAGTGAAACGCATTGGACACAAGTAGGAAAACTGAGACTAGCTTCAGGGGAACTGCTATTATACTCTGGTCATGAAGAGGAAAATGCCTCACAAACACAAGGAGTTGCACTGATGCTGTCGAAACATGCACAAAAGGCACTGATAGGATGGGAATCTCATGGACCGAGGATCATTAAAGCATCCTTCAAAAGAAATAAAGAGGACATGACAATGAACGTCATTCAATGTTATGCACCTACCAATGACTACAATGACGACGTTAAAGATCAATTCTACGAAAAGCTGCAGTCAATCGTCGACAGATGTTCACCAAAGGATTTGACGATTCTTATGGGAGACCTAAATGCCAAGGTTGGAATGGACAACACTGGATATGAAGACATCATGGGACGACATGGACTGGGAGAAAGGAACGAAAACGGTGAGAGATTTGCAAGCCTATGTGCGTTCAACAAACTGGTCATCGGTGGAACAATGTTCCCACACAAACGCATACACAAAGCCACATGGATTTCACCGGTCCACACTACTCAGAACCAAATCGAACATATCTGTTTCAACAAAAATTTCAGAAGGACCATGGAGGATGTGAGAACCAGGAGAGGAGCTGATATAGCCTCAGATCACCACTTGCTGGTCGCCAAAATGAAACTGAAACCGAAGAAACAGTGGATAACGGGGCAGACAACATCACACAAGTTTAATACGGTGTTTCTTCGGGATGCCGTAAAACTCAACGAATTCAAGATAGCCCTCACCAATAGGTTTCAGGCCTTGCACAATATACTCAATGGAGAGGAAGCAACATTGGAGAACGATTGGAAAGGGATGAAGGAGGCAATCACTTCAACATGTCACGAAGTTCTGAGTTACCAGAAGTACCATCACAAGGAATGGATGTCTGTTGGTACTCTTGCAAAAGTTGAAGAAAGGAGGAACAAGAAGGCAGCAATCAATGTCAGCCGAACAAGAGCAGAGAACGTTAAGGCACAAGCTGCATACACAGCAGCAAACAGGGAAGTGAAGAAGAGCATGAGAGCTGACAAACGAAAATATGTGGAAGATCTAGCAATGACGGCGGAAAAGGCTGTAAGATACGGAAACAGTCATCCAACTGAGCTACAAATTATCTCTACCATCTCAAAATGCAAAGAATAGATAAACTTGCAACGTTGCAAAGGATTTTGAGCCATGTCATTAAAAGTATTTAACCATCGGTTATTATCATCCTGCGGACCCCAACTCGGTAGTCTACACCTACCAACATGACTCAGTCCACTTGTCAAGGACTTCATGGATTTCTGACATGTTTTGGTCTGGCTACCTATAGCTTTCTTCCAACCTATTCCTACACTACTAAACATAGCTCGTCGAGGCAGTCGGTGGTTAGGCATTCGTAACACATGTTCCAACCACCTCAACTGATGAGGTTTCACTGCTTCATTTATTGACCTGCCATCCTTACTTAGTATCCGTTTCCTAACTGGTTACTCCATGGTTCCAGAATATACGAGCAATGCTTCGGAGACACGCGTGATCGAATAATAGTAACCTACGAATATCTTCTATTGTTGGGGGCCATGTTTCGCATCCATAAAGTAGGAGATTGCAAACTACTATTGCATCTCTGTGATAATGTGGTATGAAAACGTGAACTGATGTACGTTCTAAAAGGTGAAAAAATAAAGTTATAATGGAAAGTTAGCTACATGAACGAGTATTTGATTGCGCAAATAAATGACCGTCAGATATGTAATCATAAAATGTGTCTACGCTATGGTGTTTTACAAGACTGGATTATCGACACAAACCCTCAAATAAATTGAAATCAAAGACAAGACCAACATTTAGGAATGGTTCTCTTATCTAACAAAATAACATCCGTATACATCGATCCTAGAGAAAAAATAATAAACGTGATCGAATATCACAGGTAAATAAAGTAAATTAGCTTCATAGGTGTCTCACTAGTAATGTAAAATTGCTACTAAGTTATATGAAGACTGGTTAGTTGAGCTCTAGCACTTCCGTTTCTTTGCAATCGCATAAGTCAGCTTAGTTGCGGTTCTTCAAACTTTTTTAGATAGGAACTGGCTGCTTTTTTGCAATACTCAATTTTTGATGAGCAATTCATGAATATCCTGGCATTAGAGCAACTGAAAGCCTTGAGTTTTACATAAAGGCTTTTGAAACTTCTAACAAACCCTGCATGAAAATGTACAAAGGTTTTCAAATCTTGACTAGTAATGACATCCCTAATCACTGTATCGAAACGAAGGGTGATAAGATCATATTGACCGCTTATTTTTTGACCAATAAGGGCTCAAATTTTACTCGTTCGATTTTTTAAAATCTGGATAAGTTGTTGGTGCCATTTGGAATTTTTCATGAGCATATTCACTTTAAATTTGTTACCAACTTGTTGCAGTTTATCAAACTAAGTGGATTCCCACAAAATCTTCGTGTTCGCGCAAGTGAAGCTCCATATGACTGTCCAAGACGTCATGATTGGGAGGCGTTTTTTCGCGATGCTCAGAATATGGACGAAACGAAATCTGGTCAGAGGCCTGATACCCTTGTAGTCACTGGTCTTCCCATCAGATGGTTTGCTAGTGCATCACACAATAGACCACGATTTAGCGTCAGTAGTGATGACACTAATAACAGTTACTTATCTCTTTTGGTGGATGAAGAAAAGCCGAATCCTTCAATTGTAAAAGAAGCATTTGAAGTAAGTATAACTTTTACAAAGTAATTTTTGTCCATATTTTTATAATTTCTACATTATTCTACATTCTACATTATTCTCCGATGTTACCCTTGATGGAGCGTTGAGCGCTGACCAGCATTTTCCAGACAACTCCGTCCTAGGCACTCCTTTTCAGTTGTTTCTAAGTGTTATCCATTTTTTTAACGTTCGCTTACAATTCTCGGTGCAATATGTACCCCGGTCTCCCTCTTTTCCTTTGACCTTGATAATCCAAACTTGAGAATCGCTGGGTGCTTTCTCCGATGCACTGTCCACTTCCAGCGCTTCCTAATTTCTTCCTCAGCTAGAAGCTGACTTGGTTTCTGCTGCAGTGGGTAGTTGCTGATAGTGTTTGAACAACGGATCTGCCGTATCTTGCATAGACAGTCGTCGATAACCATCTGTATATTTTGGATGGTGGCTTTTGTAGTTCTCCAAGTTCCAGCTCTATACAAGAGAACTATCTTAAGGTTTGCATTAAAAATTGTTACTTCAGTATTGATTGAAAGTTCTTTCGAGTTCTAGATATCCTTCAGTTGTAGAAATGCTGTCCTTGCTTTTTCAACCCGTGTCTTTACATCTTCACTAGATCCACCTTATTTATCAAAGATGCTATCCAGGTATGTAGAGATTTCCATCTCTTCCAAAGCTTCTCGATCAAGAGTGATTTGGTTGTTGCTTGTTGAGTTGTATCGAAGTATCTTGCTTTATCCCTTGTGTATGTTGAAACGTATTACTCTAAAGGCTGCTGCTACAGTGGTCTTCTCCTGCATTTTTTGTTATGTGTGAGATAGGATAGCTAAGTGATCTGCGAAGTCCGAATCGTCTAGCTGCATCCCAGCTGTCCATTGTATTCTGTGATTCCGCCGATATGTTGACTCCTTCATAATGCAGTTAGTCACCAAAAAAAGAGAAGGGATAAGAGTAAACAAACTTGTGTGACACCCATCCGTCTACCAACCGAAGGGCGGGTTTACTGCACAGCACTTCTGTCCATCCTACTTTATGGATGCGAAACATGGCCCCCAACAATAGAAGATATTCGTAGGTTACTATTATTCGATCACGCGTGTCTCCGAAGCATTGCTCGTATATTCTGGAACCATGGAGTAACCAGTTAGGAAACGGATACTAAGTAAGGATGGCAGGTCAATAAATGAAGCAGTGAAACCTCATCAGTTGAGGTGGTTGGAACATGTGTTACGAATGCCTAACCACCGACTGCCTCGACGAGCTATGTTTAGTAGTGTAGGAATAGGTTGGAAGAAAGCTATAGGTAGCCAGACCAAAACATGTCAGAAATCCATGAAGTCCTTGACAAGTGGACTGAGTCATGTTGGTAGGTGTAGACTACCGAGTTGGGGTCCGCAGGATGATAATAACCGATGGTTAAATACTTTTAATGACATGGCTCAAAATCCTTTGCAACGTTGCAAGTTTATCTATTCTTTGCATTTTGAGATGGTAGAGATAATTTGTAGCTCAGTTGGATGACTGTGGTGGATATTCGACTTGATAAGATAGGGGGTTTAGGAAGGTCTCGTATGCTGTTACGGGTATGAGGGCGGTTGTCACTTCCCGACTGCCCACATCATGGAAGGGTGTTTCTTGAAGAACCTGAAAAGGAAGGAAGATTAGCGTTGGTCTTAGCGACCTGGCAGCGTGACCGCAGAGCCCAAGGGACAACTACTTGAGGCCGGTCACGCACCGCCTTTTTAGGAAGGGTTTTTTACGACTAGCTCCGCTCTTGAAAGCCCTTAGTGGGCACCCTTACCGCCGAAAACGGAAATCCGTGAGGTAGGGTGAGGTGTGATATTTTTAGGGTCGGACTTTTCTGCAGCATCGTAGCAGATGCTGGTTATCCGAGGGAAACACCTTACTGCTGTCACACTTCTCTGCAGTCAGCAGTACGACCTCGCCTTCAGATCTTGAGTAGCTGCTTTTAGTCTCATTGTTCTCCAATCGACCTACCTGGCATGGTAGAACTTCAAGGAACATCCAGCCAGTATAGCTGGGCTGGGTCATCACGATAGTCAAGTCCTACCACCACGTCAAGGTATTAGCTACGGTCGGACACATTAACTGATGTACGTACGTACGAAGTTCTACGTTGCTATTGATTGATTGATTGATTAAGTTGTCATACATGTTCTTATTATAGGGATATCCAATGTTTTGTTTTTAAGTACTTTTTTGTCATTCAGTTAAACAAGTTTTATTATTATTACTATTTTTATTATCTTAAGGTATTTGGAAAAATTCGAGAAATTGATATTCCCATGTTAGATCCTTCACAAAATCCTGATTGCTTAGAAGATTATATAAACAGCAACGATATTTTAAATAGTTCATGTGATACGTTAAAAACCGATATTACAGTTAACGAAACTATTGACTATTCATTCCGTAACAATTCTGGCCATACAGAGGAGTATATTGGTGGGTTTGGCAAAATTGGTCCGGATACAATTGGAATTTTAAATCCAACTGTACAACACAGTGTAATTAATTCCTCTTCTTCGGACTCTGATATCAAATCAAAAACATCTCATTTGTCGAAGTCGAAAAAATCCAATACACTGACTAGTTCAACTACAGCATGTGTTGGTAGTCCACTTACATTTATGGCGTATGTACAGTATATGGATTATACTGGATTTAGTCGGGCTATGGACATGCTACGTGGCCAGAAACTTGTTTATGCTCCAACTTATCGAAGTCAATCATCAGCGTCGGGAGATCAGAATGAAAAATTGTATTATGCAGCTGAAATTAAGGTAAATTAATTGATTTCCGATCTTTCACAATTTCAATCCATTAAAAATCAACCAAGACTTGGTTAAGGTTGTTTCTTTGTCATAAGTTTTGCAAAACAGTTTATATTTCATATTCTTATTTACTCTAAACTTTGCATGACTTTCAGTAGAGTTAATAATAAGTAAGAACTAAGTTAAAGTTTTCATCTCAAGTTTGTAGTAAGAATACTATTTGTTAAATCGTTACTCGATAAAAGATACCACATAAATCTTTTTATTACCAAGCAAATTGTTGTATAGCGGCTAATATTCTGTTCAATGTCTAACCTAAGCTTATAAATAGTATCACTAATGAATTATCACAGTTCAGTCAATATCTGGCTTTTTAGTTCTGTATATTTCACTGAATTTCATAAATGTCTGTCAGCGTACTGCATTGTAATCATTGTAATCGCAATGGCGCCGGTGCATTTATTCTTTGTGTTCTCTCAAACCCTAATCTTCTGGATTCTTCAACACCTCTAGTTTCGACTCTCTAAACTTTTCTCACTGAATCATACTTCTTGAATAGTATCTTCTAACCCTAACCTCTCCGATTGCTTCTAATTCCCTTACTACCACTACTACTATTGGATTTGAATTGACAATTATATCTCTGTGCTGATGTGGTATGGCAACATGAACTGATGTACTTACGTACCAAGTTCTACGTTGCATCTGACTGACTGACTGATGAACTGATTACTGATTGTCAAAAGGCATAAAATGAGGAACAATTAGAAGTAGTTATATCAGTAATAATTTTTTATCCTCGAAAATATATATAGGTTTTCGAAAAGCTATACCTGGTTTTACTGTAAGTAACTTGTTAAATACAAAAGTTGGCATACAATCGATATTTATGCTAACCTAGCTTAATATATCAAAATGTAATAGTTTTAATCAATGAATTTCCAATCGTCAAAGTAAATGAAAATTCAGTCAGTAACAACGTAGAACTTCGTACGAATGTACATCAGTTCATATTGCCACACCACATTAGCTCAGAGACGCAACTGTCTTTTCAAATCCCATTATCGTAGAAGTAGCAGCAGTAATCGGAGAGATTAGGGTTCGAAGGTATGATTCGAGAAGTATAATTCAGTGAAATAGATTTGAGAAGAGAAAAACAGAGGCGATGAGGAATTCAGAAGGTTAGAATTTTGAGAGAACATAAAGAATGAATGCACCTGCGCCATTGTAAACGATCCTGAGCCATGTCGTTCAAGGTCTCTAACCATTGGTGACTTTCGTCTCGCCTACATCTACCAACATGACTCAGTCCACTTGTCAATGACTTCATGGATGTGTGTCATGTTTTGGTTAGGCCACCCCTAGATTTCTTTCAACCATCTCCTACATCACAAAAAATAACCCGTCGAGACAATCGGTGGTTAGGCATACGTAACACATATCCCAACCACCTCAACTGATGCAGTTTCAGATTTGCCATCCCTACAGAAAACTCGTTTCCTAATGACAACATTGCTTACTCGTTTGTTCCAGGATATACAACCAATGCAAGCCAATCTTCAAGCAACATTTTGCATTTCGAGGGGGAAGAACGCATCTCGAACATGCTTGCATTGTTTCTCAGGGTATCCAGAAGACGCCTAGCTGCATCAGATGATCTTCATTATCTGTTCTTTGAGTCTTTGGTTTGGACTTTTTTTCTGGTTAACTTTTTTTAAGCAAGTTGGTTTTTGTTACGCCTGCAAGTAAACACGTCATCTTGATATACTTGAACTATTACGAGTCTACCTAGTCAGGAAACGAAAGCGAGGTTCGAGGATCCGGCGACACGACATGCTACTCAATTCCGATTATTCCAACCCCCATATTTAGTTAAAATAAATGACTTGATATGAAGTAAAACTTGTATTCTACAAGCATCCAGAAAGTACGAGGTCCGAATCCAGGAGAGAATCAGGATCCCGGACTAGGGATCCGGGACCGAGCCCTGGTCGTGGTCATAAAACGTCACACATAATGCGTATTTATACACTTTGGTCGAATAGGAAACAGTATCAAAGTCTGTGACATTGACAGTTAAGACGACCAATAGGAAGCAACATTTGAAGTGACATTGATAGTCAGGACAACCAATATGAAACAACATTGGAGTATGTGACATTGATATCTAGGACGACCATAAAATTGCGTTTACGACCAATCAATTAAGCATATTTATGTATAACTATTAAGAAAATCGAATTATCTACTATGGTACCGTTTGTTTTTTATTCATCTATTTATTATTCACTTGCTAAATAACAGTTTTTAATCATGTTTAAACGATTACAACAATTAAACATATAAACCTTGGTATTTTCATGCTAACAGATAGGAAAGCTTCGATAAATTTTTAAAAATAGGTGTACATATATTCATGTACATTTCCAATTATTTTTTTCGAAAGTTTTGTAATCTGGAATGAGCAAGCAGTTATCCTGTACTTTTACTTTACTTAAATCGATGAGTATGAGTGTTACACTAAAAACGGGCGCTAACTATAAAGCACTTTCAATTAAATTTGTATTAAAGCCCGGAACTTAGTGGCCTAAAGTTGAATATTTTAATCAGGCCTTCACTCATGACAGTTTTCAAGTCATGTACACCTCTTTTGGCTTGTTTTATTTACACTTGAACATTGAACTGAACACTTGCATAGTGCACTCTATGTTCGATCTTTACATACATTGAATATATATATATATATATATATATATATATATATATATATATATACTTTTTGTCTGTTTCAAATCATCCGTTGTTATGTTTGTCCGAGTTCTCTCTTTCTATTAGTACTGGTTTTCCGAAATTTGAATTAATGTAAACCCTCTCAATGGACTCTTGCTTTTCGTACTATATGACCCAAGCTAATAAGAACGGGCTTTGGTTATTCAATACTGTAAGGTTATATAAAACGAAAGCTTTAAAAGTCAGGTCAAAATCTAGAAGTTCACCGTGGCAACTCTCTCGGGTTATAGTATAAATTGCAGACTACTTGTTTTCGACTATACCAGTTACTTTCTTCAGTACTAGTCATTTATTATAGACGATATTTTTCAGTTCGATAAAAATTTTGTAGCGACAGTTGAAGTTGTATTTATGACACATTGAGATTAGTATAGTCGAAATATTATACGCCTAAAATAGTTTTATAAAGCTCTGAATTAATAACTAAGGCATTTGAATTTCAATCAACAAATATCAGGTTCCAATGCTTTCTTTATCTACAGGCTCATAGTAAGCATCATTAGTTCCCACACACAAACAGTATGGCTTAGAGTCAAAAACATAAACTTGTACTCAGTGTAAGTAAGCTTCGTTCATAACTAGTATGTTCTATCGAGTAAATCTTCTCTGTATAACACTAAAAAGGAATTTAGTAATGAAATCGCAATTTAAAACATTATTTACCTTCCCTTTTATTAACATAGATTGATTTTGATCGAACTAAACATTTATCACCAGATTCTATTCATGTAAGACAAATTAAACGAAATCAATTACTCTTAGTTGCTGAACGTAGGCGTGTTGAAGCAAGAACTATAGCTGAAGCAGCACGTGAACGATTACGTCTTTTAGAAGATTCAGAGCGTAAATCTGAAGAACGACGTAAAGCAGAAGCATTAGCCGCTAAAGCTGAACGTGCAGCGAAACGTGCTGCACGTGAAGAAAGTAAACGACAAACTGTAAGTTATGATTTTCTTCTCATATCCTTTCTTCTTTAATGTTCAATAATAATGTTATTGGTGCAATTTTCAAAATACATTACACTGTTGTAACAAGATAATCATATTATTAGATTCGTAAATTGTGAAATTTTGTAACGGTGGTTTTCATTGTCTTTCCCAGGTAGTATAACCGGCACATGCACGTGCTTAAAAAAAAATATGCTGACCAATAGAATTCCTTGACAATTGGATGGAAACAGCTTATTCTGTGAATTCGGAATTTGAGTAGTTATTGTCAGTGATCATAGACACAATATGATCATCATATATATAGGATTAAAATAAATGTATAGAAAAGGAAAAATAATAATAATAATAATAATAACTATTGAATTTCCACTTAGATAGAACAAGCTGTTAGTAATTTTACAAAGATTGTAATAACAATAATGTTATGTGAAAGAAAATTTAATGAATAATTCATCATTAAATTATATGTTTAAGGAAATGAAATAATATTCAATGTATGTAATGGTTCTATCACTTTAACCATGAAATTACTTTTATTCAATCATTAAAAGTTACTTATTCAAAATAATAGCTTCTTTAAAATTATACTTCACAGGAAATGATTACTCATTAAATAATTTATAATTTTATTCATTATGGATAATGAAATCAAACTTGACGTTGGAAATATACTATACTAGAGTTCGCTTATAAATAGATATCCAACAACTCTTTGTAAATAAGCTGTTGTAAAACCTTGATCAAACTCTATATATCAATAGTTGTTATTTATATATGGAGAAAGTCTACAAAAACTTCCTTGTTAATAATGGTGCTGTATAAAAAATCAGGCTAAAAGTTTCACACTATTTGAAATAAAATAAAAAAAAACACACACTCAACAATATTGAAATTCAAAACATGAAGCACAATATAAATTCGCATTAATCATTTCAAGCTTCAATGAAGAATAAATGATTGAATCATTTAAATGTTTTATATCAATCAATGATTTATTTTTATTGATGGTATTGTTCAAAAACGATTTCATAAAAATATAACTGTATTATTAATATCATAGGCAATAAATCGTTGTAAAAGAATTAAAGAAGAATTACTCAAAAAGAAAATATCCCTCGAAGAATATCGTCGTATAGTGGCTATACGTAAAGTAGAAGGCATACGATTGATGACCTTTTTATTAGCAAAAATACAGGTAAAAAATTGAATATATATATATATATATATATATATATATATATATTATTGAGGTGGTGGTTTTATTCTCAAGTCATTTGACCTTCACATACTAAATCCCATGCCCAAACCTATCTGCACCTACTTTGGCTCAGGCAGTTGAGTAGTATCACTAGCCCTCATCACAGTTATAGTGTGGCTCATTGTTATAATGCTGCTACGTAGCTATTCAAATTCTACCGATATCCGAATTCAAATATTCCAATACGACCCAAATACTATTCCCAATCTATATATCAGAACACAACGCTGTTAGGTGAGGTTGTTTAATGGGTCGAGTACAGTAGAGAGGAAGGCAGGAAGGAACGGAATACAAAGCCTTACAGATACTGCATGTTTATACATTTCGGTCGAATGAGAAAGAGTATCAAAGTCTGTGACATTGACAGTTAAGACGACCAATAGGAAAGAACATTTGAAATGACATTGTTATTCCGGACGACCAATAAGAAACAACATTGGAGTACGTGACATTGATATCTAGGACGACCATAAAATTAACCAGTAGGAATTAACCAATAGGAATTGACCAATAATTCTCTTAGGATATTGGATGAATATCCTAACACTTATGCGAGCACCTCATCAAAATGATACTTTTTTATGATGAGCGGAAATAAACAACAATAAAAAAAATAGTATAAATAATATATATGGATGGCAGTGTAATTTAGACACGTGTTTCGTTGTGATGCATTAATTAGTATTTATGAATATTGACGGCGGCAAATTACACTTGCTAATATATCTTCATAATAGCGAAAAACGATGAGAATATGAACACTAGAATTTAGGTATATCCACTTGACGACTGGTAAATATAACAAAACTAATATTACTTTTTCTATTAAAACGTAATGAACAAGTGTTATTTATTGTATTTTATGCAGTTAAATAATGGTGTTATAGTAGAATCTGGCATAGAATATGTACATCTCTAGTTTAAATTCTCATGCTTCATGTTGGTTTATTACAATAGATGAACAATGAATATTTAAAGTGATAATTTGATTAATTTTAGTTAGAATCAACTCGGATAATCGAAAGTTTAAGATTTAGAGAATAATAATATATATATTTATTTAGTGAATAGATAATGTTATGAAGGATTAAAAACAAATATAGTTTTTGAAAGGAGGTTGTTACGAAGAAAGAGGACATGACAATGAACGTCATTCAATGTTATGCACCTACCAATGACTACAAGGACGTCGTTAAAGATCAATTATACGAAAGGCTACAGTTAATCGTCGACAGATGCTCACCAAAGGATTTGACGATTCTGATGGGAGACCTGATTGCCAAGGTTGGCATGGACAACACTGGATATGAAGACATCATGGGACGACATGGACTGGAAGAAAGGAGTGAAAACGGTGAGAGATTTGCAAGCCTATGTGCCTTGAACGAACTGGTCATCGGTGGCACAATATTCCCACACAAACGCATACACAAAGCTACATGGATTTCGCCAGACCACACTACTCAGAACCACATCGACCATGTCTGCATCAATAAAACGTTCAGAAGGACTATGGAGAATGTGAGAACCAGGAGAGGAGCTGATATAGCCTCAGATCACCACTTACTGGTCGCCTAAATGAAATTGAAACTAAAGAAGCACTGGACAACGGGGCAGACAACATCACAGAAGTTTAATACGGTGTTTCTTCTTGATGCCGTAAAACTCAACGAATTCAAGATAGCCCCACCAATAGGTTTCAAGCCTTTCAAGATCTACTCAATGGAGAGGAAGCAACATTGGAGAACGATTGGAAAGGGATGAAGGAGGCAATCACTTCAACATGTCACGAAGTTCTGAGTCACAAGAAGTACCATCACAAGGAATGGATCTCTGTTGATACTCTTGCAAAAATTGAAGAAAGGAGGAACAAGAAGGCAGCAATCAATGTCAGCCGAACAAGAGCGGAGAAAGTTACCGCACAAGCTGCATACACAGCAGCAATCAGGGAAGTGAAGAAGAGCATGAGAGCTGACAAACGAAAATATGTGGAAGATTTAGCAATGACGGCGGAAAAGGCTGTAAGATACCGAAACTTGAGACGATTGTACGATACAACAAAGAAGCTGGCCGGAAACTATCGTAAACCAGAACGACCAGTGAAAAGGAAGGAGGGCAAAGCAATTAGCAACACTGAAGAACAACGAAATAGGTGGGTACAGCACTTTCAGGAACTCTTGAATCGACCAGCTCCACTGAACACACGCAACATCGAAGCAGCATCCATGGATCTTCCAATCGATGTTGACAAATGAAGAGCGGCAAATCAGCAGAACCAGACAACATTCCAGCAGAGGCAGTGAAAGCAGATGTGGAAGCAACTGCGAAAATATTTCACATCCTCTTCAAGAAGATTTGGGATGAGTAACAAGTACCATCAGTCAGTCAGTCAGTCAGTTGCAACGTAGAACTTCATACGTATGTACATAAGTTCATGTTGCCATACTACATTATTAGCACAGAGACGCAAATGTCAAATCAAATCCCATAGTGATAAAGATAGTAGAGGTATTAATGTTAATAAAGAAGACTAGAGTTCGAAGATATTATTCAAAAAATATAATTCAGTGAGATAAGGTTAGAAAGACAAAGGTAGAGGTATTGACGAATCCAGAAGATTAGGATTTGAGAGAGCTCGAAGAGTGGATGCACCTGCGCCATTGCAAACGATTTTGAGCCATGTCGTTCAAGGTCTCTAACCATTGATGACTTTCGTCTCGCGGACCCCAACCAGGTAGTCTACATCTACCAACATGACTCAGTCCACTTGTCAGTGACTTCATGGATTTGTGCCATGTTTTGGTCTGGCCGCCCCTAACTTTCTTCCAACCTACTCCTACACCACAAAACATAGCTCGTCGGGGCAGTCGGTGGTTAGCCATACGTAACACATGTCCCAACCACCTCAACTGATGAAGTTTCACCACTTCATCTATTGATCTGCCATCCTTACCTAGTATTCGTTTCCTAACGACAGCATTGCTTACTCGGCTGTCCCACGATATACGAGCAATGCTTCTTAAACATCTATGATCGAATACTAGTAACCTACGAACATCTTCTACTCTTAACGGCCATGTTTCACAGCCATATAAGAGAACGGAACGAACTGCTGCGCAGTACACCCGCCCTTTGGTTAACGAACGGATATCACGCCTACGCCATAAGTGACGCAGGTTGGCAAAAGCCAATCGAGCTTTCTGTATCCGAGCTGAGATTTCGTCAGTCACCAGACCGTCAGCACTGATGAGACTACCCAGATAAGTGAAGTGATCTACACGCTCGACTACTTCACTCCCTATCACTAGTTCAGGTGCCGAAGCAACCCAGTCTTGAAGCAACATTTTGCATTTCGAGGGGGAAAACCGCATCCCGAACATGCTTCCATTGTTGCTTATGGTAGTCAGAAGACTCTGCATTTTGTCAGCGTCTTCACCGAATAGAACTATGTCATCGGCATATTCTAGATCAGTAAGCGACTTTCCTGGTAGAAGGTCAACCCCTGAAAAATCTGACGAGCTTAATGTTAACTCTAAGAGGATGTCTACGACAAAGTTGAACAAGAATGGAGAGAGTGGACAGCCCTGACGGACACCACTTGATGTAGAGAATTCAGATGACAGTTCGCCATATGCTCTCACCCGACCAGTGGTGTTCGAGTAGAGTGCTTGTATAAGGTTAATGTACTTCTTTGGTACACCTTTCAATGACAGACACTGCCACAGAACCTCACGATCCACTGAGTCGAATGCCGCCTTAAGGTCCAGGAACACGACTATTGTCGGACGTCTAAATGTGTGTCTGTGTTCCAGGACCTGTCGTAGTGTGAAGATGTGGTCTATACAACCACGTCCAGGTCGAAAACCAGCCTGGTTTTCTCGAGTCTGCTCTTCGCGAGCTCTAGTTAGACGTCTAAGTATAATGGAGGCTAACAATTTAGAAATTATATTAGTTAAACTTATTCCCCCGTGATTGTCACAAGAGGACTTCTGTCCTTTCTTGTAGATTGGGACAATTAGCGACTGGGACCAGTCAGATGGGATTACGTCCATTTCCCAGATTCTACCTAGGATCTCGGTCAGTCTAACCGTTAAAACTGGACCACCATCCTTAAACATCTCAGGGGTAAGCCTATCAGGACCTGCCGCTCTACCTCCTCTTAGATTTCCTATAGCTTTCTCAACTTCATATAGACTGGGAGGACTTAAATCGATTTGCCATTCAGGATGACTGGAGATCGTGGGCAACCGAAGTGTGGCTGAAGGCCAGTTGAACTGATCCCTAAAGTGTTCTGCCCATCGGTCCAGCCTCCTAGATTGAGAATGGATAATAAGACCATCCTTTTCCGAGATAGTCTCACTCACATTCGGCTTCCTAATACCGGTTTCTTTAATAAGGCGGAAAAGTTGTCTAGTGTTGCCTATCGCCGCTGCCTTTTCCATCGCTTTTGCTTTCGCCACCCACCACTGTTCACGGTCGTTACGTAGGCTTTTTATAAGTCTGCGCCTAAGCTGACTACGCTCCTCATCATGTTCAGAGTCAGGTGGGATGCGTTTTCGAGCATCCATCATTTCGGTGGTTGCGACTGATATCCACGGCTTCATCCTAACCTTGTGGTTTACCTTGCTAGCAGATACCATTGCTGTTTCCACAGCCTTCTTGATATGATTCCAACCTGCTTCAGGATGGGAATCACTTGCATGGCCGCCTAACTGTTTTTCTAGTTCCTCCTGAAATATTTTCTTAGCTTGATTATCATCAAGTGAAGCCCTAAGAGGCTTCCTTACGGTGTCTTTCCTACGTCCAGTAAGCCTCAAACAAATACGTGCTCGCACTAGGGCATGATCTGAATCTAAACATGTGCCCCACAACGAGCGACAGTCCTCTATCGAACCCCTCCATCGGTGGCTGATGGCGATGTGATCTAGTTGTGTCCAACGTTGAGACGACTTCGGGGGTCGCCAGGTCAAAAGGTGTTTTTCTTTATGCTTAAAATTAGTGTTTGCTAGAAATAGTTGGTTATCTGAGCACAGTTGCAACAGACGGTCACCATTGTCTGTTCTTTGAGCCGTGAGACCGTAACATCCACCTAGGTGTGTTTCATTTTCACTTAGTCTACCTACTTGAGCATTGAAGTCACCAGCCATTATAACTATATCAGAGCGCTTAACTTTTTGGAGGAGGTCCGAAAGCTTTCTGTAAAACTCATCTTTTATATCATCTGGACTGCAGTCAGTGGGGGCGTAGGCTGATATGACGAAGAGGCAACGGCGAGTGTCCCTATCTTTCCGAGTCCTTACTGTCCCGTTGAGTCGGACGGCGCACAAGCGACTATCTACAGGGATCCAGTCAAGGAGAGATTGTTCTGCCCTACGACTCAATGCTATACCTACACCAGTGAGACCCCGGGAAGCAGCATCAGGGCTACCGGATACACGAAGAGTAAATCGAGCTGCTTCGTTATCTTGACATGGTGAGGTCAAATGAGTGATGCTACTCGGATCCTGTATGCACGTTTCCGAGACGCAGCACACATCGATGGAACGAGATTCTAAAGTCCTAGCTAATGATGCCTGTTGCCCTATTTGACACAATGTCCGTACATTGAATGTTCCAACATGTAGTCTAGAACGGGGTTTAAGGAGACCAGGAACGACGTTTCGCAAACTCGCATCGTTTGCATTAGCTGTGCACTGTAATAAATGAATGTGAGAAGAGTTAGTTGTGGAGATAAGAGAGGTATTAGGGAATGTAGGAAGGATTTGATTTTGAACAATTTGGTCTCGCGTGCTGTTACGGGTATGAGGGCGGTTATCACTTCCCGGCTGCCCACACCGTGGAAGGTTGTTTCTTGACGAACCTGAAAAGGAAGATGGATTAGTGTTGGTGCGTGACCGCAGGGTCCAAGGGACAGCTGCCTGAGTCCGGTCACGCACGGCCTTTTTATGAGACGTTGTTTGAGGATTAGCTCCGTTCTTAAAGGCCCTTAGTGGGCACCCTTACCCAAGGAGACGGAAATCCGTGAGGTAGGGAAGGTGTGACATTTTTAGGGCCGACCTTTTCTAACCCTTCCTTCCTTGTGAGAAGGCAGCATCGCTGCAGATGCTGGTTGTCCGAGGGAAACACCTTACTGCTGTCACACCCCTCTGCAGTCAGCAGTACGACTTCGCCCTCAGACCTTGGGTAGCTGCTTTTAGTCTCATCGTTCTCCAATCGACCTGCCTGGCATGGTAGGACCTGCAGGAACATGTGTTCCAGCCAGTATAGCTCGGTTGGGTCATCACGATAGGCAAGCCCGACCACCACGTCAAGGTAGCAGCTTCGGTCGGGTAAGTATCATCAGATCAGTACCATCAGATTGGAAAGAAGGATACCTGATCAAAATACCAAAGAAAGGCGATCTGAGCAAGTGTGATAACTACAGAGGCATCACTTTTCTTTCAATACCAGGCAAAGTCTTCAAGAGGGTATTGTTAAACAGAATGAAGGACTTCGTAGACGTCCAACTTCGAGATCAACAGGCCGGATTTCGTAAGGATCGATCGTGTACTGACCAAATTGCTACATTACGAATCATTGTGGAACAATCAATTGAATGGAACTCATAATTCTACAATAAAGCATTAGATAGCGTGGATAGGAAAACACTGTGGAGGCTTCTTCGACACTACGGTGTGCCTGAGAAGACAGTCAGCATCTCACGTAATTCTTATGATGGATCAAACTGCAAAATCATGCATGTCGGACTGCTGACAGACTCGTTCGAGGTGAAGAGCAGTGTCAGGCAAGGTTGCTTACTCTCACCCTTTCTCTTTCTCCTGGTGATCGACTGGATTATGAAGACGTCAGCATCTGGAGGGAAGCACGGTATTCAGTGGACAGTTGGGACGCAGCCTGACGATCTGGACTTCGCAGATGACCTGGCTCTTCTATCTCACACGCAACAACAAATGCAAGAGAAGACGATCAGTATAGCAGCAGCCTCTGCAACAGTAGGTCTCAACATACATAAAGGAAAAATCAAAACTCTCCGATGCAACACAACATGCACAAACCAAATCACGTTTTGTAGAGATTCTTTGGAGGACGTTAACATCTTTACATATCTGGACAGCATAATCGACAACCAAGATGGATCCGATGCAGATGTGAGGGCACGGATTGGCAAAGCAAGGTCTGCATTTCTACAGTTGAAAAATATCTGGAACTCCAAACAACTTTCAACCAAAACCAAAATCAGGATTTTCAATACAAATGTCAAGACAGTTCTACTGTATTGAGTGGAAACTTGGAAAACTACGAAAGGCATCATCCAGAGGATACAAGTGTTTACTAACAGTTGTCTACGTTGGCCAGACTCCAGCAGCAACAACGTACTGTGGGAGAGAACAAACCAGATTCCAGTGGAGGAGGAAATGAGGAAGAAGCGGTGGAAGTGGATAGGACACACTACGAAAAGCACCGAACTGTGTCACAAAACAAGCCCTCACTTGGAAGCCTGAATGTCAAAGGGAAAGAGGAAGACCAAGGAACACATTACGCCGAGAAATAGAGAAAGATATGAGAAGAATGAACAAAAATTGTATAGAACTGGAAAGGGAAGCCCAGGACAGAGTTGGTTGGAGAAAACCTGTCGGCGGCCTATGCTCCATCGAGGGTCATAGGTGTAAGTAACTAAGTAGTAACCTTAGTCGGAAAACGAGAGCGAGGATGCGGTGGCATGACATGCTACTCTAATCCGAGTGTCCCAACCCCCATTGAATAAAAGAAGTCTTGATATGAATTAGAATCTGTATTCTACAAATATGCAGGAAGTACAAGGTCCGAGTCTACAAGAAGTCACGGATCCTGGACTGGGGACCCGTTTCTGGGTCATAAAACTTTACAGATAGTGCGTATTTATGCATTTAGGTCGAATAAGAAACAACATGGAAGTCTGTGACATTGATAGTTAGGACGTCCCACGACAAACATCATCTGAAGTGACATTGACAGTTAGTACAACCAACAGGAGACAACACTGATAGTTAGGACGACCATAATATTGACCAATAGAAGTAGACTTCCAAAAATAGTTCTCTTAGGATATTTGATAAATATCCTAACAGAGATATAGTTCTGTTTTGACTAAAACCGAGAAAGATTTCTTAAAGTTAAAGGAAAATGTACGAGGAAAAATTACAACAAGGTTGCCAATGTTTTCTGTTGTGAGTCATGTTTGATAACGCCAGCAAGTCGCCCCATCCGTAGAAACCCAGTCAGTGTCCTGGTGGACCGGCGCATCTTATTCCTTAACAGCTTTGTTTCATACCACTGCACCACTTTATAAATTGGCCATCTCTTGGTTTTTACTATATTGTCGCTGTGCCATAAATTGATATACAGTATGAAATCGACCGAACTGGGATTCTGAAAACATCATCAACTCACTAAAGTTCATGTTTCAAGATAGGGACACCAAGTGGATTTATTCATCTGAGTTATTAAGACCACTTTTACCTCAGACCAGCAATCAGAGACCTTATTATCTGATATACCAAATCTTCTATCTCGTCATACCTAATCGTTTTCTAATAGTCCTTTCTACCCGATTCTACCTGGATTTTCAACTGAAGCCAGTTTATCATGAAAACTAATTTCAAATGAAATTATAGGAAAGAAGTATCCGTACTGTTTACATTCATCTGGCTATATTAAACTATTTGAATATTCTTCAAAACCTTAGAACATTGTTTACAAATATCAGTAATAAATATAAACGTATTGTTACATTTTCTTAGGCTCGTCATGATTTACTCGTGGCTACTAAACGTCTTGCTCGTATCTCGAGAGCAGAGAAAGCTTTAGTCGAAGCGGAGGCCAATGTTAACATTGCCTTATCGAAAACAACACACAGAAATAGTAGTATTCGTACAACACAAACTGAAGCTGATAATCAATTGGAAATAGATGAAGAAAAAGATTTCAGTAAGATATGTTCACAATCTGGCTTACCGCCTCCAGTAAATTCTTCTCCTGAATCATCCGTTGAAGAAGACGAAAAAGAAGATAAAGTAGGACAAAACTCACGATTTAAACAACTACTAAATAAACGTGAAGAGTTCCTACGAAATAATTTATTACGTGTAAGTACATTTTTTTTAAAAATCTAACTGTGATTATACGATAATTTCAAATATTATTGTAAAGATTACTAAACATCATGAGTAAATGGAATTTTAACCACATATCTAATAATAGTTCAATGGAAAAATTATGAGAACCTTTGACCTAATCATTATCTTATGTGATAACTTTCCGTCAATTGACTTAAATGATAGATACATACTGTTTAATAAAGTCATGTTTGGAAATCTTATTTTGGAAATCACTTTCTCTACACTTTAATGCTTCATCATGGGACTTCTAGATTGTTGAATAACTGAGTAGATGTTTTATATTATCCCGACAACTTTCAGCTGTTGCTATCTTAATTTAAATAAAAATTAGAAAACATTTTGATCAGAACTCAATATCCCAGTCGGTTTCTCTAACTAAAAATAATTATTATTATGATGGGATTTCGTTCTCTTAGCTCGATCATCAGTACAAACTTTAGGTAGAAATGAAGTATTCGAATTTACTCCACGTACAACTCGAAGCTTGTTCTGTTAACCTTTATTGACCTTAAACTATTCATTGTCTGCATCTGAGCTAAAAATGTTCTCTACCATCTCAATAGTTATTATTCAATATTAAATGTATTTGAAACTTCTCATTGAAAACAATATGCCGCGATAGACTCTTGTCCGTGAGTACAGTAATCATACCTTCACCCTCTGCAAAATTTAGGAGCATCGCCAACAATCACCATTACATTAATCGTTGCGCTTCTTAATATCAGGGCCAACGTCAAAGGGATAGTTCGTACATTCTAAGAGTACCGAGTAGCATTGCACGGGTCAGAAATAGAGTACTCAGTATTGATGCAGTAATAAAACCTCATCAAATGAGATGGTTGTGAAATGTGTTACTTATGCTAAGCCACCGATTACCTCGAAGAGCGATGTTGTCTGATGTAGGGATAGTCTGGAAGAAAGCTAGAGGGCGCCAAACTAAAACACGATACCAGTCCATGAATTCATTAACAACCCAACCTGCGTCTGTCACTCCTCTTGGAGCATAGGCCGTCAACCTGCATTCTCCAACCTACTCTGTCCGGAGCCTACCTTTCTTAGTCCTACCCGTCTGCCATTCAACCTTTTCATGTCTGCTTCAGATTCTAGCATAATGTGTTCTTGGGTCTTCCTCTTTTCCTTTGAGGATCCAAAGTTGTGGATTGCTTCGTGACGCATCGGGGTGCTTTCCAGTCAGTCAGATGCAACGTAGAACTTCGTACGTAAATACATCAGTTCATGTCACCATACCACATCAGCACAGAGATGTAACTGTCAATTCAAATCCAATAGTAAAAGAGGTAGTAAAGGTATTAGGAGTAATCGGAGAGGTTAGGATTAGAAGATATTATTCAAGTAGTATGATTTAATGAGAAAAGTTTAGAAAGTCAAAACTAGAGTTGTTGAAGAATCCAGAAGATTAGGATTTGAGAGAACACAAAGAATAAATGCACTGGCGCCATTGCGAACGATTTTGAGCCATGTCATTCAAGGTCTCTAGCCATCGATTATTATCATCTCGCGGACCCCAACCAGGTAGTCTACATCTACCAACATGGCTCAGTCCACTCGTCAATGACTTCACGGATTTCTGCCATGTTTTGGTTTGGCCGCCCCTAACTTTCTTCCAACCTACTCCTACACTACAAAACAAAGCTCGACGAGGCAGTCGGTGGTTAGGCATTCGTAACACATGTTCCAACCACCTCAACTGATGAAGTTTCAATATTTCATCTATTGATCTGCCATTCTTACCTAGTACTCATTTCCTAACGACAGAATTGCCTACTCGGTTGTCGCACGATACTCGAGCAATGCTTCGAAGACACCTTTGATCGAAAACCAGTAAGTAAGACGGGGCGATCTGCTGCACAGTACACTCGTCCTTTAGTCAGCAAAAGGATATCTCGCCTACGCCATAAGTGACGCAGGTTGGCAAAAGCCAATCGAGCCTTCTGTATCCGAGCTGAGATTTCGTCAGTCACCAGGCCATCAGCACTGATGAGGCTCCCTAGATAAGTGAAGCTGTCTACACGTTCGACTGCTTCACTCCCTATCACTAGTTCAGGTGCCGATGCAACCCAGTCTTGAAGCAACATTTTGCATTTCGAGGGGGAGAACCGAATCCCGAATATGCCTGCATTGTTGCTTAGGGTGGTCAGAAGACTCTGCATTTTGTCAGCGTCTTCACCAAGTAGGACAACGTCATCGGCATATTCTAAGTCAATAAGCGAGCCACCTGGTAGAAGGTCTACTCCTGAAAATTCAGATGAAGATAATGTTAAATCTAGCAGCATGTCTATGACAAAATTAAACAAGAATGGAGAGAGTGGCATTCCTAACGGACACCATTTGGAATGAAGAGTTCCGGTGACAGTTCGCCATAAGCTCTCACTCGACCAGTGGTGTTCGAGTAGAGAGCTTGTATAAGGTTAATGTACTTCTTTGGTACACCTTTCAATGACAGACACTGCAGCTGAGCCTCACGACTGATAAAGTCTAATGCCGCCCCTCCGTGGCTATTGCCGGTGCCATTCGCGGATGGAGGAGGGTTGAGGCTTGCTTTTCAAGTTCATTTAGATTCTATTTACAGTTCGTATTGACTGGAGATCGTGAGCAACGGAAGTATTATCAAATGATAGTCTTACCGATCTCTAAGGTATTTGGCCCGTCGACTCAATCTCCTGGATTGGGAATGACCAGTATTTTCGCCCTTTACCTACAGTCGGATTCCTAGCACTAGTTTTCTCAATAGTTGTCTACTGTTACCTAGTGCTGCTGCCTTTTCGATCACTCTTCCTTTCACTACCCACCACTGTTCGTGATCGTTGTGTAGGCTTTTTATTAGCTTGTGCTTACGCTAACTTTGCTCTTCGTCATGTTCAGAGCCAGGCGGGATGAGTTTCAGAGGATTTATCAGCGAGCCTGATTTTCTCCAGTCTACTCCCCACGAGCTGTAGTTATGCGTCGTGTTAATATCGAAGTCAATAATTTCTTCACTATAGTAGTTAAACTGATCGCTCTGTGATTGCCACAAGAGGAATTTCGTCCTTTTTTGTAGACTGGAACAATAAGTGATTGAGACCAGTCAGATAGGAGTATGCCCAGTTCCTAGATTCTACCTAAAATGTCGGTCAATATAACTGCTAAAACTGGACCACCATTCTTAGACATTGTTGTAACGGTTGCTTACGATATTTCCCGGCTAAATCTTATTGCTTAGTATTCTTGACACAAGACACTGGACAAGTAACACAAATCAGAACACGGTTGAACAGGAAGGATTGTATTCCAAAATAGCAAGGAAAAGAAGCTGGAGGTGATGGCGAAAGCCAAGGCAAAAAGGCTTGAAAGCGAAGAAGGCTAGAAGGCTTGAAGGCCAAGATAAATACAATGCTAGTCTATTTATAGCCTTTACATGAGAAAACTTCTGGAACAAAATTCACGTGATCGACTGGACTGGTTTTGACCAATCAGCATGCAGCTAATAAGACGAGAATTTTCTATCCTGTTCTCCAAGCTTCGATCAGGCGCTGATTGGACAGGAAATTAGCCAATCAGCGCGTAGTGACGTAATCATGCTTTAAATCCATCTATGTCCCACTAACACCTCCCCTTTGAGAAGATTCGTAGGATCTGGTGCTAGGGTCCAACTGCTTCCTGGGTGCCTTGCCACCCGTACTCTTACGAGCCGCCTGCTTTGTAGGAACCATATCTTTAAACAACCATCGATCGGGCTGCTTCCCCACCGATAAGTTTTGTTGAGGCTCATGAACAGCATATGGTATAGGGCGTCTCGGACGTGAAGTAGGTTTGGCATCTGCTTTCGCTGGTAGGTTAGCTTTCAGATTCGTACAGCGGCCAAGGCTATTCTGAGAAACAGAGGCTGACTTCCTCTTTCGTTTATCTTGTAACCTTTCACCTGTCTTCTTTTTAAGTATCGGGGTGTCCAATGATGAACACGATACGCTGCAGACACTGTTAATGGGTAAATCCATTATTCCCAGCTTTTCTAGCATATCTAGACCAAGAAGATCAAGGTTTGGCCGTTCTGTCAGATAGCATATTCCTCTACACTTTGTGCCGTTGAAGGAAAATTCACACTGGAACTCACCAACCAGTTTTAACACACCACCTGAAGCGCTTTTAACTGTTTTCTTAGATGGCTTCATTGGCGGTTTTCCCAGCGAGTTGTACGTTTCTCTAGACATTAGGGTGATATCTGATGCCGTGTCGATTTGGAAACGAGCTGATGCACCGTTCATCTGGATAGTAACATACTTTCTCCGAACGTCATATTCTGTTTGAAAAGCAGCTACGAGAGAAAGTGATTTAGACTCGGCTGATTTCACCACATGTCGAGTACGTTTGCGCTTCTTCTTCGGTTGAGGCGTACGATTTGGTTGGCAATGGCCTTCTTTATGTCCACGTTTATGGCACATCTGACATTTATGTTTTTTAAATGGACAAAATCGTACGTAGTGCCAATCACCACATAACCAACATGCCGTCGTTGGTTTGTTACGAGATGCTATCGGCTTCTGGACTTTTAACCTAGTAATAGCATTGACACTACTGCTGGTTAAATTGTGATTTACCTGTTCAATCAACATGTTGTCGTGCCTGATACTTTGTAGGCGTTTACACTCATCTGTCAATGTTCTGAGTGTGACGTTAGTGTCTTGGTCCATTCGAATCAAAAGTCTAGTTCTGGTTTCCGCATCTTGCGGTGACTGAAGAGCTTTGATGAATATTAAGCATTTAAATTGGTCTTCCGTCAACGAGCGTAACTTGAACCGTTCACATTCTCTGTTGACGACGTCTGCAAGAACCGCATATTCATCATCTTCGTGTTTCACCAGATTTAGACAATGATATCTAATACTAAACAATGATGCTGATTCGCCGAAAATATCTGACAGCTGAGTTACTGTCTCCTCGAAACTGAGCTCTCGAGGTAACTTCGGTAATACGTGGTCAGCGTAACGTTCATACTCATTGCTTCCCAACTTACGCAGCAACAACCGAGTCTTCCATGCATCATCTTGTTTACCGAATTCAATTCTAAATGTATCTTCCCAACGTTTGAACCACGTCAGGAAAGTATTTCCACATTCAGGATTATAGACGAATTCTGGTATGCTGTTAGCCACTGCTTCACAAGACGTATTTGAAACAGTATGTGGATTCGAACACTGGATGTTGAGCTGCTGAGTTAGGGTCTCCAACAACCGCATTTGTGCATCTAATTGTGCTTGCTGTTGTTGTAGTATTCGGTTAAGCTGATCATCTGAAATAGGCATCTTGAAAAATTTTTTCCTTTTTCTCCGTCGCCACTGTTGTAACGGTTGCTTACGATATTTCCCGGCTAAATCTTATTGCTTAGTATTCTTGACACAAGACACTGGACAAGTAACACAAATCAGAACACGGTTGAACAGGAAGGATTGTATTCCAAAATAGCAAGGAAAAGAAGCTGGAGGTGATGGCGAAAGCCAAGGCAAAAAGGCTTGAAAGCGAAGAAGGCTAGAAGGCTTGAAGGCCAAGATAAATACAATGCTAGTCTATTTATAGCCTTTACATGAGAAAACTTCTGGAACAAAATTCACGTGACCGACTGGACTGGTTTTGACCAATCAGCATGCAGCTAATAAGACGAGAATTTTCTATCCTGTTCTCCAAGCTTCGATCAGGCGCTGATTGGACAGGAAATTAGCCAATCAGCGCGTAGTGACGTAATCATGCTTTAAATCCATCTATGTCCCACTAACAGACATATTGCGCTTATATCAACGAAGTAGGTAAAAGTTAAAAACTTGGTTGTGTTCACTGGAAGCCTGACAGTTCTGGAAAGAGAACAGGCTAAATGTTAGATCTTGATTACTTAATAACCCACTGTGTTACTCCAGAACCTTCCTGCTATATCTTTTGTTTCGTGCTGAATGAGAAAGTTCGGGAACTAGAAGGCAGGTGTAACGCTGATGTCCAAATACTAGGCACTAGTATAAAAATCTAAACTGTACTGAGTAATCAAATGTAATGAATTTTTTGTGATAATCCTCAAGATGGTATACTACACCACAGACCAATGAGTAGTTGAGCCATTGTTCTTTAAAATCTGGAATTTTGATCAGGTGATGAGAAGACTATCACAGTAATTATGTGCAACCGAGCTTATTAGTCGTGTCATCATAGTTCCCCCATATCTTCTTTAAATAGAGTATTATGCATACGTTTTAAAGATTATTGTACGTAGTAGTTTCGAATCTCGATTTCATGACCGCGTAAGTCGTAGTTGTTATCTTCTGTTCTAAATGACTAATTGTAAAAGAGGGTAGCGCTTACTTCGAAATCCATAGTAATGAACATGAAAAAGAAATACCGTAATAGCAGAAATTAAGAATACATCAGTGGCTATATTGAGTAGTAACATATCCCAAAATACTTTCATACATTTGCTATGATTTAATTTATCTGATTGTTTTGTTCTAGAAACGAGCTGAGATATTACGAACACAAATTTATGAACGATCAATCTTGTGCAATTCAACTTCTCCTGATTATAGAGAACACATCCGACTAAATCGCGAGAAATATTGAAAATTTCTTTACTTCTTACTTATAGTAAGGTCTTTTTTTAGCGAAAAAAGTATTTGTACAGTTCAGAATATCGGAGTTTCTATTCTTTAAAGTAATTTACACATTAAAATTTCAATAAATCACGCTTTTTATTTTTCAAACACTATCGCATACGTTTGTAGTTCCTTATAAGTAGTTTGTCAGTATGGTATATCAACAGTATGTAAAGCGTACAAGTGTTGATGAAATCAAATCTGTTCAGATGACGGGAATACATATACATCATAAAAGTATATGGTTGTCTTTTTAAATACATTGATACAACTCACTTATAATAAAGACTCAACTGAAATAATTTTTTATGCTAACAACACTGCTTTGATTGACTAGGTCATGATGATTAAAAATGCTTAGTACGGAAATTTATTGTAGATCTTTGTACAAAAATAAGCTACCTACAGTAAATTGTTCTGACCGTTTCAAGTACTGAGTCATAAGTGCGTAATGGTTAAAATCGGATTTTAACAATGCAGGTTTGTCCAAACTGCTTATCTGACGTTAAAATAGAAAAACAAACATTAACATATACTATCAATTTCAGTCACATACATAATACGGACCAGTCATCTCAGCCTGCATAATCAACGTCAGAAGGCAGGTAGCGCACTGATTTTAAATATAAAACACGCTGTATATTGGATCACCGATTCGTACGACTTAACCGGACTAAATAGCTTCTTATCTTGTTTTGAATTTTGAGCTTTAATCTTATTTCATACTTCCTATTTCTCTTTGTCACTTAACCTTCCGCTGCGCATTTACTTTTCGCAAACAAGTGGAAGCTTAAGCTCACGAAACTTCGTTGGTCCTACGTCATTTAGATTTACCTGACCCTGACTCTTTGATGTTGACGGTTAGGAAGCTTTTGTTCTCTAACGTGGTCATAAGTGACCATTTATAATAATGGAATTTATGTTTTTAAGTCAGCTCTTTTGAGTGGAAGAATAGTCAGCAACGTTGATTGCCCAACGGAAACATCAACCTGCATTATGATTGGCTCTAAAAACATGCATCCTATTGAAAACAATTAATTGTGAAAACTGCTTAAAAGCGGAATAAAGTCTTGTTACTTCCTAAAATATTAAAGAATTGGGGGTTAAGGTCAATGTAGTCTATGTGACTCGTCTGAGTGGACAAACCCGGCCACTGCGTATCTATCAGGATTTACTTGGTTTAAGATCGCAAGCGTCCTACATATGCGCAGTTAGAGCACCTCTAAATGTAATCTCGAGATTACTCAATCCCTGGAGAGGTGCGAGTTACCTAAAATTTACGAATGCAAACTACGTATCGTTATGAAAACGAAATTGATAGAGACTAGATTGATTGGCTCGACTAACATATCCATTGCTCCACCATACGTTATTTTCGTCACGATTCTGTATACCGTTTTTACCTCTTAGGAAATGATAAAACTTTTGAATAGGTCAACTGTTTATTGTATACCAAATTACTGGTGTATTAAAAAACTAAACACAGCCAGAAAGGCTGTGATTGTGCGATCGTCTATTTTATCAACACAGCCTGACATAAAATATATCAGCTCAGTATTAAGACATGTGATTTATTCATTTCAATTGATGGTATGAAAAAATCCTGAAACAATGTAAGAAGTGAGTTGTGTCTACAATGAACATTATTAAAAACAAAGCGCATTTACAAAAGGCAAATGCCCACTGGTTTTACAAACATTTCACATTAAGTAACTTTTAGATTATCCAGTCAATCAACGAAATGTTACTATGTACAAAATGCGCACTGAGTGACAGATAGGAACGATTAGAATTTTGGCGCATTTACTGAAGATGGAAATTAAAGTGAAAATGACAAATAACCGCAAACAGAGCCAATATCTTAAACATCTCAACATGAATGGTTGATGAAATCCTTTTTGTCAAAAAACTTTTAAACTGTAAGACGAAGGCACGAAAATGGTTCATTTCGACGTTTCGTCAGTTCTGTAAAAAGTAAGGAATGATTGGTTAATAACTCTGTACAATTTTAGACTACATCTGTCACCACCTGACTAGACGAAACATCAGATATATTGTGATGTGACTCATCAATGTCATTATTTGATGCCTGATCTTCTTCGAAATGACTGTGGTCGTTCTTGTCTTTCATTTGTTCCTCTTCTTCACTTTCTTCATCTGAATAATCCACCAAGCCAATAGGAGATAGTGGGTCAGCTTCCATAATCTATAAGCATGAGATAAGTAAAATGTAGTATTCATATTAATTAATCGCAGCCTGCATTATGACATTTCATATATCGCGGCCTAATACCTCTGACCCTAGATAAGCTTTTTGAACTTACTATGAAATTTCGGTTTGTTCTTAGAAATTTACTGATCATGTATTTAGTGACCACAAAAAATTGGAAATGTAGATAGTCCCAAAATGCGCCAGAACAATAGGGTGAAAAACAATACCTCTAGTTAGAAGTAGAAGAATACATCTGCAGCTTAAGCTAAGGCGGTTGATATAGAGGGTTTAAAATAAATAAAAGGTTAACAAATAGGTTTCAGAATTCGAGGGGAATAAGTAGCATTAAAGACTACTTTGACCAAACTGAGGCAGTGTCTTTACACTTAAGCCGTCCAACTGTTCTGGACTAACTTCCAGGTTCGGTCCTTTCCATTCTTACTTTAGTTCGTGCAGCCGAATCACTTTATATACAGAACGATTCATACACCAGTATTTTGGCTATGAAAATGTATCTCTATCTTGTAATTTTGTAAAATTGAGTACTATTACACGGCTATGTCAATTATCCTAACCTTCAAACAGACCAGTTAATCTAATTCTTTGGAGTGCTACAAATTTACATAATTCTCATTACTGCATTTTTGAACACTTCTAACTCTCAAAGTTCATGACAGAATTTTCATTTTTTTCCATGCATATTTTAAATTTCCAAAACTGTAGCTTATCAGTTTATCCAGTTGGGTAACCATAGTTCGACAACATTAATCATCGTACATTTGAAACGGAAATAGGTGGTGTTGATGAATTACATTGACGTCAATTTGCTTCTGAATATTCAGATTTAAAAGCAAGATTAAATCTTTACACATATTGGACCACTGAAATGCAATTCCAATCACTAATAGATATTTCACAAACATAGCAAATATATTTTCGATGAGAATGAAGAGAATCTAAAACGAGCAACTACTCACTTAAACACCGGACTAATGCAAAATTACAATAATTACTAATTTGACCTACCCCAAATGACCTTGTAGTATCGTGAGGAATTCTATCACAGTACCTATTTTCCAAGTTCATTGTTTCTTTGTATAAGTGAGAATCTTGGGATGACTTGTTACTTGACTGTTTAGATTTTTTAAAGCGTTTTACCTGAACCAGATTGCAGTCCTCATTTTCAACAAGAGAATCAATATGATTTCGCTTCATGTTTGGAGAAATATCAGTCATAAAAGAACTCGATACTGATGAGTTCTGTACATCACTTGCATTTGGACGAGTAACATTCTCTTTACATTCATTATCATTAGTATGTTTTGAATTTTTGGCATTCGACAAATTGGTGTCTGACGCTGATATAGATGGACTTAATCGACCACTTACTTCAAATGCGTCATTTATTGTTTCGATTTGACCTCTACATATAGATGATTTGATATGAATTGCTATAGGAGTTTGACGACCGAAATTAAGACGTGCTGCAGAAGACTCATTGTCATCATTCAGGAGAACAGAGTGAGGACGTAAACGAAGTCTATCGCATAGGGATCCTGAACGTGAAGTTATGCATAAATTGTCTGTTAAGTTATCCATAACAGCTTTTGGTGGGAAACTGGGTGAATGAGGCAGAACACTAGCACATGAGTCAAGGCTGGAATTGCTTGGTGTGACCGACGATGATAAAGAGACAAAACTAGACTGTGTATTTGCGGATGTAACAATACCCAACAAATCCGATGAAGTGGTGATTACAGAATGTAGTCCATATGAAGAGAGATTTGACAGACCATTTCCCATAGCAGATTCACTCGCACTAGCAGAAGCATTTGTTGTTCTATTGAGCAATGTTGACGACTGTTGCGGAAATAATAGATTGTCTCCATCTTCTTCCTCTTCTTCATCTTCATCTTGATCAAACCACTGTTCTTCTTCCATTTCAAGTGCACGTGCGTCACGTTGAAAACGGGTAGAAGCTAAAGAAAGCCTTAAAGTAACAAACATTTAAACAATTAAGCATTAAATAAGTAATGAAAACAATATGAACTGAGAGTGAAGAATAGCGGCGATTTTACTGCAAATAACACCTCAAAGAACTGGGAGCTTTTAGAGTTTTTTTTTTTCAGAACAACGAAGTTTAATTTCTCTTTTATTTATCGATAAAGATTAACGACATATTCGAGTTTAACCTATAAGTAAACACACCGTTAAATGAATGAGTTTAATCCAGGTTTATATGTTGATGGACATAACAACATTTCTTCAAGAAACTGTTCAAGAAGTTTGGTCATCTCATAAAATAAATCACGTAAACAAATTACCATCAATTTCAAACATTTAAAACTTACACATCTATTGTCGCTTGTTGGGTCACAGTTCCAACGACAGGTCTGACTGAACGATGACTATGGTCATATGTTCGTTTTAGATCAGTAAACGTTTGCACATAATTTATATTCTTCAAAATGTCCCAGTAATTTTCTACTATATGGGTAATTAGTGAAGTTATTTCTTCAGAGCGAATATAGTCAAAAAGTTCGATAATCGCTGAGTCCAACAGGTTGTAACGATATCCATTAGAAACGAAAAGCTTCAAGACTGGTTTGAAAAGATTGTTTTTGATTAAATAACGATTATAAAATTCTTCTTTCATATGAACAACACGTCTTAGAAGGCGTACAGCAGCTACAAATAAACAGTATATTAACGTTGAGTATCAGCTGACTTACCTAATACAAGGAATTTATGAGATGATTGTAATAAAACGAGAACACGTTTTAGAAGATCGCGATTAAAACAGTAATTTTTCATATGATATGTGTGCGTTTCAATACAGAATGTGAGCAGCTCAATGATATGGTTTAAAACTAATGCCGTGTGATAATCGTCTAGAATGGAAGAAAGGATTATGGTAACGTAACGGGTTTTTCATTACCTTTTTCCAGTGAATCTTTTGCAGTATTATCAAATAATGGACGTACAAGTGTATTGATACATCGCTTATAGAAAAAACTGAGGAAATCTGTTTTCTCGCTACGCTACAATACAAAAAAAGGAGCAATAGAAACTCAAAAATGTCATTACATTACACAAAGTAAAAACAAAATGGTGAAATCAAAATTCTAGATACAGTGGAGGACAGACAACGGGACTACATCAATCGAATGAAACTGTGCAACATAGTTTCTTTCAACTGGGTATTAACTGCTTTATATGTATATGTCAGAATATTTGCGATTTTCGAAGACTCTAGTAGGGTTACCGTACCTCGAAAGGTCAGATAAGGGAAGGTTAGCCATGAGGCTAGCGACCTCAAATCATAGAAAAGAATATTGCTAAGAAACGCTAACCGTACACAAATATGTGTTAAAATTCTAAATTGCTTATGGAGCTGCTAGTGAAGTATCTGGATGTTTCACTTTAAACCATCAGGGTGACAATTTAAGCTTATTTCAGTCAACTTGTTCTTGATAACCAGGAATAAAATCTTAGTCCCTACAAAATATATGTCACCTAAAAGTGTGACTACTTACTTGAATTAGTGATAGAGTTATACGACCTTACCCTGGGCATTCTGATGACCCGTAACTATCAGTGGTCACGTAAGAGAAGGCATAATATTGTTCTGAACCCGAAAGTGGAATTTACATCGTCGTTAACAGTCTCTTTTTGGTATCCAAATGAATAGCATTAGGTTTTACACATACTGGTTACTATTTATAGCATGTACATAAGCAATCACTGAATAAGTAAAATAGGAGAGGTAATCTATTATGTATATAGATACTAACAGAGGAATTACGTGTTGAAGTAACGAGACTGTGGAGCGATAGCTTAATGTTTGAGAGACTTATTTTCAAAACATTCCGATCGCAGCTGCTACCTTAAAGTGGCAGACATGTTCAACTACTGTGATAACTCAACTCGGCTAAACTGAATGGGACACATGTTACTTCAGGTCCTATCATATCACGAGGGTCGCTTGGAGAATGGTAAGACTAAAATCAGCAAGGTCCGCGAGTTAATTTATACTCCTGACTGTAGAGGGGTGTGACAAGTTTTGTGTTCCCTTCGGGCAACTAACATCTACAACAGTGCTGTCCTATCACTGCGGAAGTAAGCGGTTCGAAAAGGCCTACCCTAAAAGTATCACACCTCACCTAGCCCCACTCATTTCCGTCTCCGGCGGTAAGGAGTTTCGTAAACAGGCGCTAACACACTAAAATCTTCCACAAAAAGATCCCGTGTGATCGACCTCAGGTTGTCGTCCCTTGGGGTTATGCGGTCAAGTTACGTCTCCAGGTTACTGAGATTGACATTACCCAGTGCTAAGTGTTCCGATGTAATAATAGTGGCTGGTGATTATAATGCCCAGTAGGGTAGAATAAACGAAACCGAAAGGCACTTAAGTGGATCTCAGTGTTACAGCTCATGATGCAGATCAACTGCTGAAACCATGCTTAGACAACCGTCTGTTTCTAGAAAGCATAAGGAAACACGTCTGACATGGCGACCCCCACAATCGCCTTAACGCTGGACTCAAACGGATCATATTACTATCATCCGTCGTCGAAAAGCCCCGACAAAAAACTGTAGTTCATTATGCAGCACATGTTTGGACTCAGATTATGTTCGGATACGAGCATGTATTTGCGTGCGTCACATTGGACGCAAAAAAGCCATATGAAGTAAACCGCATAAAGTTGGAATAATTAATGGAAAATCCAAGAACATATTTTAGGAACAAGTTAGTCAACCACAAAAGTGGTATCTTAACAAAGTAGTTTGGTATGAAGTTCAATAGCTTTTATATCCGCCGTTCATAGAACAGCTGAACAGATACATATACATTACTTTATCGTCCTTTTGATACCTACAAATTCAAATATTTTTACCTCATAATCAACAATCATATTAGAAAAAAGAAATACCACCATACACAGAAAAGTGATTGGAAAATTTTTCAGATATCTAACATTCTCCTGGGGTAAAAACAATATCCAAATGCAATGAAACTGAAGGCACTCTACATGACATAGATATTCTGAACGTATTTGACATGGACTTTTATTCTAAGATGCCTGACAAAGGACATGGATGATCCTAAGATTGATGAGAATTTAAATGTAATTTCTAGAGATTTCATTTTAAGTATTCGAAGTTTGCGCGACAATCAGCATAGCAGTCTGGCATGACGGATAAAAAGCAAATATGAACTTCAAATAAAATTTTTGATTAATTTACCTTAATTATCGATTGAATGAACGGTAAAATGACTAGAAATGTAGGAGACAACAAACCTTGTTCAATGAACAATGGAAGCTTTACAAATAGGGTTGAAGATTTCAAGTGATGCTGTTTGGAAGCCGTCAGAGTATCACACATACACATAGCTTTCTTTACATTTTGAGTTTTAGTTATCTTTATTCTTAGATTTTATTAACATTTCTTTCTTTCGGTCACAACGTAATTTTTTATTGGTGTGACATGATGATTTAGGGTGATGGATATTTTCACTTGGCTTTCTACTTTATGATTGATTTAATCCTTCAGTGCAATGCTAAATAACCAATCTGCCGTTCAAAACTTTGACTGGTCGTTATTAGGTGAAAGTTTCAGTATATTTTAGTATATAACTTCTTTACACTACATTGATAACTATATGGTGTACTGCACATATTTCGAATAACTGCTAATCATACCTACCTACCAAAAGGTAAGTTGCATGTGAAAATCTCCAGAATCATAAAGAATTTATTTCCACTTAACACGGATAACAAACAAGGGCATCATATATCTATGTGAAAAAGTATTCACACAGACAGACAGACAGATACAACGCAGAACTTCGTACATAAGTACATCAGTTCAGGTTGCCACACCACGTCCCGACCGAAGCTGCTACCTTGACGTGGTGGTCGGGCTTGCCTATCGTGATGACCCAACCGAGCTATACTGGCTGGAACACATGTTCCTGCAGGTCCTACCATGCCAGACAGGTCGATTGGAGAACGATGAGACTAAAAGCAGCTACCCAAGGTCTGAGGGCGAAGTCGTACTGCTGACTGCAGAGGGGTGTGACAGCAGTAAGGTATTTCCCTCGGACAACCAGCATCTGCAGAGATGCTGCCTTCTCACAAGGAAGGAAGGGTTAGAAAAGGTCGACCCTAAAAATGTCACACCTCACACTACCTCACGGATTTCCGTCTCCATCGGTAAGGGTGCCCACTAAGGGCCTTTAAGAACGGAGCTAATCCTCAAACAACGTCTCATAAAAAGGCCGTGCGTGACCGGCCTCAATCT